TTCAACGCCAGGTCTCGTAAGTCTGTCACTCAGACCCTTGAGAATAAATTACAGAACAAACCAAATTCAAATCGTGAACAATTTGGGTCAGCTCTTGGTCTGAGATTATAAATTGTCCCACCCCCCATTTGGATGTTCTTTTATTTTGTAAATAAATATCTTTAAATATAACTATATTTATGGCACTAACAGTGCCACGTGTTACATGTGTCGAGATATGTACAAAACAAGTCAAGTTATAAACATCAACTTATTAGAAATGTCATGTAGTCGTGAGGGCATGAACTTTCAAGACATTGCTCCTTATTAATTTAATACTCCTAATTTAATGCTACCATATGTATTACAATTTTGATACTCCTTTTAGACAATCTAAAATTTCATCATTATAGGGACAGAGTGGTAGCCTATGGTTCAGGTGTTCATCCTCATGATAAAAGACTGGGTTCAATCCCTGCCATAGGTAAGATGTCTGAAGTCCATTTCTGGTGTCCCCTGCCATGATATTGCTGGAATATTGCTAAAAGTGATACTCAGTGTTGCTAAAACTACACCTATTCACTCACAAACCAGTCTTCAAATACTTATGCTTGAAAGGGGTCTGAGCACTGTGTTCCTAAGAATACATGCACTCATCATCTTCAAATGCTTATGCTTGACTGGGGTCAGGCCCCGATTTCTCGAAACAAACTTACGTCTGAGTTTTGACTTAAGTTAAAGTTTCTACTCAAATTTGAGAAAACGCATTTCGCAGAATGAACTGAAATCGATATTAAACTCAAACATAGTAGACAATTTGAGTTTGGTGGATGGATTACTTAAGTTGTTTGGGCTTTTTTATTTATAAAATGCAGTTGAGTTAAGAATTCAGCTGTTTCAAATTGTCAAACTCAGTTTGATATTTGAGTAAAAACTTAAGTTTGTTTCGAGAAATCGGGGCCAGATCAGTGAGATGCCAGAAAACAGCATGTGTTTAACATTCAACTCACACATTATGCTACCACTGCTCTATAAAGAGCAGTATTCATGTAGACATGTAAATATATACATTGTTGTAACGTTGTTGTAATGTGTAACAACACTATGTGTTGACTCACACTTGTGACTATAATCTGACAAACAAGCTGTGCATTGATTTCCAAAGACAAATAGTGAGAGTTAGGTTTTTAAACAGTATTCAAGTTATGTTGAAGTTGTCAGGAATTAACAAATCCAGTTTGATAATATCTAGGATTTTTAGGGTTACATAAATGTATTAATAAGGCCAGACCAATTTTATTTCTAGTTTTATGGATTTTTGTCCTCAGAAAACCTAAAGGCAGGTAGGAAAAAATAAATAAAGTAAAATCACCAGTCAAAGTAATATTCCTTCTGAATGCTCAAAGTGTTTTACTTATGGCAACTTATGAAGTGTATATGGGGGAAAGAAACAATCTAAAACACATTTTCCTTGTAAGTTTACATTTTTGGCCAATAAAAACATTAGAATTTTACTTTTTTGAGCGGGGAAAATCAATTATTTATTTTTTTCTTATTCTTTAAAAAATATGACAGGCAAATCCGTAAAACAAGAAATAACATTGGTGTGGCCTAAGGGATGATATCAAAGTAATTATCACAGACAGATCTAAAATACTGGCCACACAGCAAAATAACTCAACAAATTTAACTAAAAACTTCAAATATCAAATATCCTGTTTTCTGTAAGTGAAACCAGACATGTACAGAAACATTTCTCGTTTTCTTGATGTAATTGTGCACATGGATTTTATGTTTCCTTTGCTTCATCAATATGTAATGACAGTCAGTTTGTGGAAATAGTGCAGCTAATATAAAATCTAAACCAGCTTGAAAACTTCAGAAGCACAATGTGACACAACAGCCAAGGACATTTCTATAATCCAAGTCAGAGGAACAAAAGAACTTCACCACATTCGTGTTCCAGAACGTGCGCATTAACTTAAATTTCAGATTCTGCATTTTTGAGGGGTCGAATTTCCATTTGTTAATACACCAATCAGCAGTGCTCAATACTTTGTTGAAATCAGGAAACGTTTTTGCTTTGATGTGAGTATGTTTAATTATGAAACACAATCAGGCGTTAAACCTAGTAATCCCAGAAAGTGGCAAGAACATCTCGCGGCTCCATGCAGGGTTGGAGCACTGAGCCGACCTCTGCTGAACGGAGGTTTCTTCAAACATCATAATGGCTTGACAGTTGATTTAATCGCCCACTTCATTGATAAGACATCAAGCATTCTGTAAGTAAACAAGGCACCTATGCCTGCCAAAGAAACACCCTGCCAAGTTGGACATGGTTGCTTTGCTGCACACTGGGCAGTCTTAGTGAAGGCTTATAAAAGTGAACTTGATACAACTTAGGCTTTCCCAAATATTCTGGTTAATTGTAGTTGGACGGATATTCTGTTCAACTTGTGATTTAAATATTTTATTATATCTGTAACTATGTCGACAGCCATTGAAGTAATATGCTAATCACTTTACTAAAGATCAAATCATTGATTCAACAGAAAACTATGATGTTGGGTCACATTTGGTTTAAATAGCTTATTGTAAGCATGGATCCTAGGTTTCAGTACATCACTGCATCTTGTGGATCCCATACCTGTTATTGACAGGTTGTGTACGTGTCAATAACCTGTGCCATGGTTTGCAAAATGGTTGCCATGAAACCCATTTTTATGGTTACTCATGTATCAAGTGCATAAGGTTAGATTAAAGTGGCTGTTTGCCTAAAGAGGGGTTACCATATTATTATTTATCTAGTTTTAAATGGATACAATTTCAAATTATAAATCTATGTTTAAGTAAAGTTGGGAATTTTTTGTGATCCTTAGCAAAGTGTGAGTAGTATACATTGTGCACCTTGGTGTTGTATTGCATGTTGCATGTGTATATTTTTTACACAGCGGAATAAACGAACACTTTAACTAGGCTACCCCACCGCCCTGCCAGCAGTGTGATTTTGCATATCATGGCCTTTAATTTTCGTAGGGGCCAAGTAGTTATAGTGTTCGCTCATGACACGCTGAACACTCGGGTCCGATTCCTCAGATGGGTACAATATGTGAAGCCCATTTCTGGAGTCATCTCCGTGATATTGATGGAATATTGCTAAGAGCGGCATCAAACTAAACTGACTCTATCACTTATTTGCACAGTCCTTTTTGAGTACACATGGCTCTAATTTGTGTAATGTTCATTGGTATTTGTTTTGTATTTTGGTCTTCATTAGTGTCATTTTCTTGTAACATTTGACCGTTACAGTACAGTGGTGACCTTTCTTGTAACATTTGACTGTTACAGCATACTGGTGACCATTATTGTAACGTTTGACTGTTACAGTTCAGTGGTGACCTTTCTTGTAACATTTGACTGTTACAGTATAGTGGTGACCTTTCTTGTAACATTTGACTGTTACAGTATACTGGTGACCATCAATGTAATGTTTGACTGTTACAGCATACTGGTGACCATCATTGTAACGTTTGATTCTTACAGTACAGTGGTGACCTTTCTTGTAACATTTGACTGTTACAGTATACTGGTGACCATCAATGTAATGTTTGACTGTTACAGCATACTGGTGACCATCATAGTAACGTTTGATTCTTACAGTACAGTGGTGACCTTTCTTGTAACATTTGACTGTTACAATATACTGGTAACCATCAATGTAATGATTGACTGTTACAGTATACTGGTGACCTTTCTTGTAACGTTTGACTGTTACAGCATACTGGTGACCATCATTCTAACATTTGACTGTTGCAGTACACTGGTGACCTTTCCTGTAACGTTTGACTGTTACAGCATACTGGTGACCTTTCTTGTAACATTTGACTGTTACAGCATACTGGTAACCATCAATGTAACATTTGACTGTTACAGCATACTGGTGACCTTGAGGTGGGGTGGGGTGAGTGATGTGAGTTGAGGTGGGGTGAGGATTTGAGGTGGGGTGGGGTGGGGTGAGTGATGTGATGTGAGTTGAGGTGGGGTGAGGACTTGAGGTGGGTGGGGTGGGGTGAGTGATGTGAGTTGAGGTGGGGTGAGGACTTGAGGTGGGGTAGGGTGGGGTGAGTGATGTGAGTTGAGGTGGGGTGAGGACTTGAGGTGGGGTGGGGTGGGGTGGGGTGAGTGATGTGAGTTGAGGTGGGGTGAGGACTTGAGGTGGGGTGGGGTGAGTGATGTGAGTTGAGGTGGGGTGAGGACTTGGGGTGGTGTGGGGTGAGTGATGTGATGTGATGTGAGTTGAGGTGGGGTGAAGACTTGGGGTGGGGTGAGGTGATGTGATGTGATGTGATGTGAAGTGAAGTGATGTGAATTGAGGTGGGGTGGGGTGAGGTGAGGTGGGGTGAGGGTGAGTGATGTGAGTTGAGATGAGTTGAGTTGAGTTGAGTTGAGTTGAGTTGAGTTGAGTTGAGTTGAGTTGAGTTGAGTTGAGTTGAGTTGAGGTGAGTTGAGGTGAGGTGAGGTGAGGTGAGATCAATTTAAAGTCACATACTGACATGCATGTGTTATCCTACTGAGATACAATCACCCAGTGTAACATCAATACTTGACTCAGACACAGTATACTGACCCCAAGTGGACCTATTTTTGGTTCCCCTTGTCCCTCTTTCAGGACATCAAACAGAATATGTTTGATGAGAGCTTATCAGACTGACTGACTGAGTTTTGGTTTTACGCCGCTTATAGCAATATTCCAGTAACATCACGGCAGGGGACACCAGAAATGGTATTCACACATTGTACCCATGTGGGGATTCGAACCCGGGTCTTCGGCGTGACGAGCCAATGCTTTAACCACTAGGCTACCCCACCGCCCCGAGAGCTTATCAGAAGGATAACCTGAGCCTATATCTGTCTTAAAACAACTGCTATATAATTACAACATTATATAATGGGCACCAACTTTTTACCTATGTCCCTTTATCGAAACATGAATCAAGATATTTTTTTATAACTGTGCGCTTGCAAAGAAACCCTGCAATCTAATTACAACGTCTTTGGCTGTAAATCAGCATTTGGGCAAAATTCTCCATCGAGGAACATGAGGCCACTGTCTAAACCTTGCCACAAACATCTAGGAACAAATAACAACGACCCCTATCCAAAGTATGTCTTCCAGACCCCCGAGAATGAATTAAATAGGAGTCCAACTGAAGTCTAGAATGATTTGGGCAAGTTTAGATAGCATCAGTTCTAGGTATCATTCTGGGCTCCATCTGGATTTTATTGTTGGGAATCATTATACATGATAATATTATTTCCGAGACTAACTGTCAGTCTGCCCTGTCTACACCTTCCTGAAAACAATTAGGATCTACTCACAACGTCCTTGACTGAAAAGGTGCACAGCACTTTAAGCACAATCCCCATTTGATAACATTGAAACAGGATATTTTCAAAGGGCTTCTCAGAAGTGGCCCTCTTGTCTAAACCTAGTTGGAATCTAATAACAACTTCTTTGGCTGAAAATGTGCACCAAACTTTTAGTAAAATCCCTCTTCAAGAACATGAAACGGGACATTTTTTAAGAGGCCTTATCTGAAATGTGCTCTTTGGCTACATATGACAACATCGGGATGTGGGTTCATGCATTAAGTGCTGGTTTATGGTATGGTCTTGGGGTTTATGAGCAAGCCTGGAGAGGACCACTGCACTTGAAGTTTATGCGCAGGAATGCAAATTGATCTTAAATCATTATAGTGCCATCCCACTGAATGGTGAAGCCAAGATTCCCGGGCTTACCATGGCTGACCCCACACTCATAGACGAACTCAGGTTACTCAGCTTCAAAAGAAACGTCCAGAGACCGTTCCTGAGATAAATACTGTTAAACAACAACTCTATCTCCGATTTCGTTTTATGACACAGTTTAATGTGAGTTTCACAATGTGATTTGTGTATTTTAGGAACTGAGTAGGGTTATACACACAATCAGCCGACTCGCTTGACAATCTCTGCATCTTTCATCTGTGTGGAGCTTTCGTTTCGCTCTCTTTCTTTCAGTAATAAAACAGACACATCCTTTCTTGCAAAGAAAAGATTGAATGATTTCAGAGTGCCTTGAACTGTCTACACCATATGATAGACAGGCCTTTTCAACCACCGCAAATGTTACTTTTTCTTTGAAAATGAACAGTCCAAATAACCATTTGTGGTACACTAAGTGAAAAAAGATAGAAGCCACACAGAGCACAGACGGTTGTGAGAGTTCCCGGCTTTGAGCTGTGTAGTGTTCTGTTATTGTCAAGTGACTATACATGCTTGCATGTCATAACCTCCCGCCGAGGTAATTGAGACAACTGACATCGTGGTGGATCTCTGTCCTGTCAAATATTTGATCAAACTCCCAACCCAACTGTCATCGATTTACATCCTCAGAAAAATAATTGTGATTCCCTGTTCAAAACACGAAAATAATCAATTACCGAAGTCTCCACTCAGAGAAATTATTTCTTTCATTATTTCTTTCACACTGCAGCTGTTGGGAGGCAAATGAACCATGTTTTTTTATGGCCAAATAGGGATATTCCTGTTCATATATAAAAAGCCTTCTGTAATATGAAAGTCTGTGAAATGTTGTTTTTTTTAAATTGAGTCGACCAGCTAGACTTTGGCTGTCATTTGTTTATTGTGAAACATCATACTCAGCAATATTCCAGCTATATGGCGGCGGTCTGTAAATAACTGAGTCTGGACCAGATAATCCAGTGATCAACATCATGAGCATCGATCTACGCAACTGGGATACGATGACATGTGTCTATTAAGTCAGTGAGCCTAACCACCCGATCCCGTTAGTCGCCTCTTACGACAAACATGGTTACTGAAGATCAATTCTAACCCGGATCTTTACAGGTCGGATGTTCCTTTTCACATATATAATCCTTGTTAACCCATTCAACACCGTAGGCTGGAAAACCAGCCAGGCACTAGTCGCATCAAAATTATATATAATTTTAGGAACCTAACTAACATATGATTCTTTTATCAAATCTATCACTTTTCACAATGTCTGAAAACACTTATTAAATTTCAAACGACCATATATTATCGACAGTATTAGAATTATAAACTTCTTTTTGCAATGTTATTGAAAAAACAATTCTCGGACACATGCTTCGGCAGCGGGTCCACAATAACATTTCAAAGAGCAAAGTAACGATGTTTCGAGGAAATCATTAAATAAATTGAATAAACTCATGAATAAACTCAACAACAGCATTCATAACAGATGTCAAACGTGCATATAAAATTACTATTTCCATCTTTTTGTGCAATCATGTAATGTAAGTCAAGTCACTGACAAGTGACATCTCGGCTTTCGCCACCTCAATCTTCATGCTCGGACACGATGTTTAATGCGAAAATATATGCATGAAGCATTTTTGTCACAGGTCATAACCTAGCACGATACGTCCAATAAGTTCCATAATTTACGTATAGGTAGCGATTTCTTGCTTAATATGTTCAAAATAGCATTATTTTACCCAAAACTTTTGTCTAAATCTAAAAGTTTTCGTTTACAAGGACGGTAATCCATTGCCATAATATAATTGGCTGCCTTAGGTCACGTGTCTGATTTTGACCAATCACGACCCTTATAGCTGAAAAGTGTCATCAGAAACCAATCTTTATCCAGTAAAATCGCTTCTTACAACTGTGAAAATACTCTCGGCAAGGGTACAGTGATGTTGTTGATGTTCAGAGCTTTCGAACAAAATACCCGACATCAAACGATTTGCCTCCCATGTTATTCATACGAAGCTTCGAAAACGGAGGTATTTTCCGTTGTTGTGTCATGTTACCGAGCGGAAAGCCACTGATATCGGGAAATAGGCTGACCATACATATTATTTAAGAAATCTTTTTATAATAATTTTTTGCTTACGTAAAAATGAAAATATAAACGAAAAAGGCACGGGCATGTTATGACATGTCTCAAATGGAAAGAAATCACCATAGTTTTTGCTTCTTTCGTGGTTTATCTGGACATTATAAATGTAAACTTGCATTTTCATTACAAAAATAAATCTATTTAAGTTGTAGTTGTATTATTTGAATAACATGATAAAAATAAACTTCATATTTATCAACAGTGGGATTAGATCTTTTAAATGGTGTTTGAGATGTAGTAGCAATAACGTTTTACAAGCTTATAATTTCCTTCATAAACATAGGCTTCATCTGTGACCTTAGAGTCTCTGGGAACTCGGTGTCATGGCAGTAAATGCATCTGGTTTACTGGTGTTGAAAGAGTTAATACAAAAATCTGTGCCAAAAGAATTCAGTCTATTTGCCCAAACTTAGCTGTCAGCATCATTTTCTATAAATATTAAATGTTAAAATTGGACCTTACTCAACAAGCTTACAAAACCAAACAGAATTTTACAAGACTCTGGTTTCAGATTGGATTGAATCATTAGTGAGTGAGTGAGTTTGTTTTTATGCCGCTTTTAGCAATATTCCAGCAATATCACGGCGGGGGGACACCAGAAATTGGCTTCACACATTGTACCCATGTGGGGAATCGAACCCGGGCCTTTGGCGTGACAAGCGAAAGCTTTAACCACTAGGCTGCCCCACCACCCCAGATTGAATCATGAAAACATAGGCCAGAAAATGCACAGAATCACACATCCACTCCTAACACAGATATAGAGCCTCATAAAAATTACGTCTCTAGTGATTGATGATTAATTCACATCCAAATCTAATTTAGCTGGAACTATGGGTTTGGATCATCTAACGAGAAATCATCTGAAAATTAAGGAGTATCATCAAAGACTGATACGTTAAATTCAGTTAGTTGACGCCATCAAACCTCGGAGGATCAGCCTACGTACTTGTAATGACAAAGCAGATGATCAAGTGCTTGGAGATTGCCGTGGGTGGCGTGTGCATGCTATCAGACAATGCCTCGTGAAAAGTCCTTTGTCTCCGATGAAATCTTTTCACTCACTGATATACCTAATTGACTTCATGCTACGTGAAAACTTTGATCTTGTTTGTATTCTGCTACAATCTCTATTGTGTTTGGATTTGAGCAGAAAATCTCACCAAGGCTGTGCCTTGCACCAGGCTTAATATGAAAGAGCTTCTGGTTGTTGATGGGTGAGGGAGTGGGTGAGAATTGGGTCTTTGGTGAGTGAGTAAATGAGTAGGTCTTGAGAGTGAGTGAGTGAGGAGTTGGTGGTTGAGAGAGTGAGTGAGTGAGAAGTGGGCGGATGAGAGAGTGAGTCAGGAGTGGGTGAGGGGATGGTTGAGGAGAGAGGAGTGAGAAGTGGGTGGTTGAAAGAGTGAGTGAGTGAAAAGTGTGTGGTTGAGTGAGTGAGAAATGTGTGGTTGAGAGAGTGAGTGAGTGTGTGAGTGAGAAGTGGGTTGATTGAGACAGTGAGGTGAGGTGAGGTGAAATTGGGTTTAACGTCGCGCTGGAGAATGATAGTGGATTGATAGTGAGGAGTGGATGGTTGAGAGAGTGAGTGAGGGAGTGGGTGGTTGAGCATTAGGTAGTTAGAAAGAAGTAAGAGAGTAAAGTAAAAAGAAGTAAAATCGTAGTTAAAGTAAATTAATAAGAATAAGTCGATGGATTAAAAGAAATGAAATTAGGTGAAGATTAGAACAATATGAAATAGTGTCATTAAGAATAGTAAGTAAAGAGTAAAGTCAGTTAAAAGTCATTGAATTAAAGAATCGTAAAAGATTAAAAGAAAGTAATTAAATAGAAATCGTGGAAGTAAAATAAATCTCGTAAAGTATATAGATTAAAAAATAAGTAAAATAAAATCCGATCAGATTAAAGAAATGAAATGAAATAAAAATAAGTTAAAGAAATTGGTCATCATCAGAAGTCGTAGTTAAAAGAAAAATAGTAAAGTAAAAATTAAGTCGTTAAGAAAAGAAGTAAGTAAAAGAAATCATTAGTTAGTAAAAGAAATCGAGTTAAAGTAAAGAAGTCGTTAAAGACAAGTAAGTAAAGTAGAAGTAAAGAGATGAATTAAAGAAAAGTAAGTCGTGGAGTAAAGTAAAATTAATTAAAAAGAAGTAAATGAAAGAAAATCGTGGATTAAAAAAATAAAGTAAAATCGTCGTTAAATTGAATTAATAGTAAAAAGAAGTAGATAAGATTAAAGTAAGTAAAGTAAAATCCGAAGCGTCGTTGAAGTAAATGAAATAAAATCGTCGTTAAAATAAATGAATCCGGAGTTAAATCGTAAAATCGTAAAGAAATAAAATCGTCGTTAAAGTAAGTAAAATCGTCGATTAAAGTAAAGTAAAATCGTCGTTAAAATAAGTAAAAATCGTCGTTAAAATAGAAACCCGTCGTGGATTAAAGAAAAATAAAGTCGATCGTCATCGTCGTCATCGTCGTCGTCGTTAAAACAAGTAAGTAAAATCGTCGTCATCATCGTAAAGTAAAGAGATTAATCATAAATCGTCGTCGTCATCATCGTAAAATCGTTAAAAATAAATAAGTAAAGTCGATCGTTAAATCGTCATAAATCGTCGTCATAAAATCGTCATCAGTCGTCGTTCATCATCATCGATCAATCATCATCATCATCGATCGTCACTAAAATCATCGATCATCATCATCATCGTCGTCGTCATCGTAATCGTTAAAATCAATCATTAAAATCGTCATCGTCGATCGTCGTAAAAGCAGATCGTCGTCGTCATCGTCGATCGTCATCATCAGTCATCGATCATCATCATCATCGCGATCGTCATCATCATCATCATCGTCGTAAAATAAATCGATCATCATCATCATCATCATCGATCGTCATCGTCGTCATCAATCGTCATCATCATCGTCGTCGTCATCATCGTCGTTATCATAAATCATCATCATCATCGTCATCATCATCATCGATCGTCATCATCATCATCGTCATCATCATCATCGTCATCATCATCATCATCGTCATCAAAATCATCGTCGTCATCATAAATTAATCATCAATCGTCGTCATCGATCGTCATCATCATCGATCGATCATCATCATCGTCGTCATCATCGATCGTCATCATCATCATCAATCGTCATCATCATCATCATCAATCGTCGATCTTCATCATCATCATCGTCATAAAATAAATCGTCGTCGTCGTCATCATCATCGTCGTTCATCATCGTCGTCGTTAAAAGTAAATAAAGAAAATCGTCGTCGTTAAAAAAATAAAAATCGTCGTTAAAGTCATCGTAAATCGTCATCGTCGTTCATCGTCAATCGTCATCATCATCGTCGTTAAAATAAATAAAGTCGTGGATTAATTAAATCGATTAAGTCTAAAGAAAGAAGTAAAGAATAGATAGTCGTAAAAATAAATAAAATCGTCGTCGAAAAAGTAAGTAAAAAAATCGTCGATGAATTAAAGAAGTAAGTAAGTAAAATCGTGGATAAAGAAAAGTAAAGTAATAAAGTCGTCGTTAAAAAAGTAAATAAAGTCGTGGTCGTGGTCGCAAAGAAAGTAAAAGAGTAGATCGTTAAAAAGTAAGTAAAAGTCATTAAGATTCAAATCGTCGTAAAGTAAATTAGATTAAAGCAAAGTAAAGTAAAAATAAAAGTAAATTAGTTAGTAAAGTCGTCCATAAAAAAAGTAAAATGATCGTTAATATTGTCGTCGATAAATTAAAATAAAATTAAGTAAAGTGTCGTTAAATAGATTAAATGGTCGTCGTTCATCAATAAAATCGTTAAGTCATCATCATCGCGTCGTCATCATCATCGTCGTCGAGTCGTCACTCATCGCCGTCGATCGTCGTCGTCATCATCAATCGTCGTCATCGTCATCATCGATCGTCATCATCGTCGTCATCATCGATCGTCGATAGTCATCATCATCGTCATCGTTAAAAATCATCATCATCGTCGTCATCGTCATCGTGGATTGTGGTGGGTGGTAAATGATGGTTAAAGTAATCATCATCGTCGTCGTCGCATCATGCGTCATCGATCGCGTCGCATCGATAAAAATAAATAGTATAAAAAGATCGTCTTTCATCATCGCGTCGATAAATAAAAAATAAATAAAAAATCGTCGTTAAAGTAAATAAGTCTGCTCCTATATCAGGTGTCAATTAAGCGTGTGTAAGCGTATGCATATCTGGCCTTATCAAACAATTTCCATTATTCATTCTGTTTGGTTTCTGAAATGTGTGATTTTTTTAGTTATTTCTTTTCAGGGCGTGAAAAGTATTTCCATGAAACTGAGTGAGTGAATGATAAGTGAGTGTCTTGGGTTTTATGCCACTTTTAGAAATATACCAGCAATATCATGGCAGGGAACACCAGAAATGGGCTTCACACATTGTACCCATGTGGGGAATGGGACCCGGATCTTTGCATGACGACCAAACACTTTAACCACTGGGCTACCCCACCGCCCGTAATGTGTCCAGGAAGGAGAGAGGGTGGTAGGCACCAATTCCTCCTCAACGGAAGAAGAGGAAGGGAGGGGTGAAAATAAGGGGGAGGAAGGAGGGAGGAAAGAAAGGAAGGAGGGAAGAGAAAAGATATGGGCAGGGAAGAATGTTTACAGACAACTTGACCATTTCTGTCCACAACTAAAGGTGAAAAAAACCCAAAACATATACATTTCAACCAAACTAGTGACTAATGATACAACGGTTATGAGGCCAGACCAATTATATTTCTTGTTTTACGGATCTTCCTGCCATATTTTTTCAAGAATATGAAAAAGAAAAAAAGAAATTTCCCAGCTCAAAAAATAAAATGTTAATGTTTCTATTGGCCAAAAATGTAAATGTACAAGAAAATGTCTTCAGATTGTTTTTTGCCCCATATACATTTCATAAATTGCCAAAAGTAAAATACCTTTAGTATTTAAAAAGAATATTACTTTGACTGGTGATTTTTATTTTTATTTTTTTTCCCTCCTGCCTTTAGGTTTTCTGAGGACAAAAAGAATAAAATTGCTCTGGAATGACTAAGACTATATCGCAATTATTCTCGCAGATTAAATGCATCATCATTCAGACCCCACTCAAAATAGCCAAGGAACAGCAACACGACAAAATTCTTTATTTAGCTCCCTTGATTTATTCTGAAGTTATCTAGAGGCCTCCCCATACCACAAATTCTTGATGACAATAAATCTTTCAAATACATCCCCATGTTCCTGCTTACAAAATCTTGTCTACAAAAATTACGACCAATAAAATAACATGCTTTGATGTTTCCACACGGCTCTACTTCACTCATACAGTCATAACTATTTTATTTCATTTTGATATTTGGTCCATGCGTAATTGTGTATATTCTTGTGCCATTTCTCTGGCACACATGAAAATAACATTAGGGGCTAGAAAGGCCCTTAAAAAAACTTACAGTCCAAGGCCCCATTCTTCAAAGCGATGGTAACCCTAAGACGATCGTAAGTCCCATACTTTAACAAAGACTTATGACAGTTGTAGAGCTACGATCGCTTTGAGGAACGGGACCCAGGGCCCCATTTCACAAAGTGATCTTAGTACTAAGATGGTCGTAACTCCCTGACTTTATCATAGACTTATGACAGTTGTAGCGCTACGATCGCTTTGAGGAACGGGCCCAGGGCCCCATTTCACAAAGTGATCTTAGTACTAAGATGGTCGTAACTCTCATACTTTAACATAGACTTATGACAGTCGTAGCGCTACGATCGCTTTGAGGAACGGGCCCAGGGCCCCATTTCACAAAGTGATCTTAGTACTAAGATGGTCGTAACTCCCATACTTTAACATAGACTTAAGACAGTCGTAGCTCTACGATCGCTTTGAGGAACGGGCCCAGGGCCCCATTTCACAAAGTGATCTTAGTACTAAGATGGTCGTAACTCCCATACTTTAACATAGACTTATGACAGTCGTAGCGCCCAGGGCCCCATTTCACAAAGTGATCTTAGTACTAAGATGGTTGTAACTCCCATACTTTAACATAGACTTATGACAGTTGTAGCGCTATGATTGCTTTTTGAAACAGGCCCCGGGTGCTGTTGGACAAAGCAACCTTAGTGTTATACCAGTCATAGGTCTATGTTAAGGTATGGGAATTACGACCACCTTAGCACTAAGATTGTTATGTACAATGGCATCCTAGTCTGTGTTCCACAAAGTGATCTTAGCGCTAAGATGATCATATCTCTGATACCTTCACATAGGCTTACAACTGTCGTAGAGTTAAGATAGCTTGGTGCAACAGGAAAACATGTAGTGTCCCATTGCTGTATTGCTAAATACCCTTTAAAGCCATAATCACTAGAGGAAAGTCTATTTTCAGCTGAAAACTTAATATTGTGTCATCGAATTGAGAGTTTCTCAACGGATTTAGACGATTTAGACAGAATTGATCAATTGGAAATAAAATCGGCGGAAAATTGCCATCCCTGTCACTGTTCTTTTGAACTAGGGGCGTGGGTAGCCTAGTTGTATGGCATTCGCTTGCCACTCTGAAGACCAGGCTTCCATTCCCCTCATGAGTACAATGAATGAATGACATGTCTGGTGTTCCCCATATTGTTGTAATATTGCTAAAAAGCAGTGTAAAGCCACTCTCTCAGAGCATATTTTCAGAAGAAACATTTGAATAATAGAGTGCTGAGTGAATTCCTCAGATTGATGAACCTTTTATCGCCTCATGGTGCCTGCTCATCTTGGCTCTTGTGCTATTAGTGGCCAGATTAGGAATGAGATTATCAGACAAGGTCATTACGCTCCATTATTCATTGTTTCACACCAGCCTTAATTACAATAGGGAACATAAGCATGTCCCAGTAAACACTCCATGTGTTTGTGTGGAGCTTAGTGCCCTCCTCTGGGGGTGGTGGGGTAGCCTAGTGGTTAAAGTGTTGGCTTATCATGCCGAAGACCCAGGTGAGATTCCCCACATGGGTAGAATAGGTGAAGCCCATTTCTGGTGTCCCCCGCCATGATATTGCTGCATTATTGCTAAAAACAGCATAAAACCATACTGACTTACTCACAAGTCTCCCTCCCTCCCCTCTCTCTCTCTCTCTCTCTCTCTCTGTGTGTGTGTGTGTGTGTGCACTACGGTACTTGTGGGTGAGGGTCAGCAAGGCTTTATTAAATGAAGCAGGTTATGCATTTATTCTGAAAAAATCTATGTTGGAAACAGCAAAGGAATGCTTCAGGACCAGACAAATCTAACAACAAGTCTGTGAAGTATTACCCCTTTTTAAATAAATAAATTGCAAGCAATTTTATTGGCTATCCAAGCAATGTTTTGTGTTCATGTTTCCATAAACTGACTGAAAGAAATTCAGTCACAGCCAAAAACTGGTGGTGATGCACATTGCTTTGAAGGATGTCACAAGTTTTCATAAGGTTCTTGTCAGTTTTTGGTCTACGGTTAGACAAGTAGTCTGTGAATGTCTTATTGTTCGCGGGAAGAATATAAGAATTGACCTCGATATGTTTTTATGCATTTATGGAGTTAAAAACATTATAACTGTTATGCATACTTAGCGTAAATCTGTTTATATCTCCTTGAAGGCAAAAAATATTGAAGTCAGCTCTTAAAGATTTGCATTTACACATAAAACTAATCTTACAGAATTCAGATTTCATTCAATTTCAGTTTGACAGACTTTGGTCCAACATCTGTTGCTCTGTATGGGGCTTGTCTGCAGTCTGATCTTTGAACGAGTTAGTCGAGCCGATGCCATTTGAACTACAACACAGCTCCATCTTGCAATCCTTAATCTGCTGTAACAATGGTGTTAGTCTGTTACCTCCCACTCTTTATAGTCTTGGCTGCATCAGAGTGAGTGAGTGAGTTGGGTTTTACGCCACTTTTAGCAATATTCCAGCAATATCACGGATCGGGACACCAGAAATGGGCTTCACATATTGTACCCACGTGGGGAGGCTGCATCAGAAACAACTCTATGAACTCTATGAAGTTTCTGAGTGTGCTCGATCTGGGGTAGAATAGGACTTCGGCAACCCATGCTTGCCACAAAAGGCGACTATGCTTGTCGCAAGAGGCGACTAACGGGATCGGGTGGTCAGGCTCGCTGACTTGGTTGACACATGTCATCGGTTCCCAATTATGCAGATCGATGCTCATGCTGTTGATCACTGGATTGTCTGGTCCAAAACTAAACTCACTCACTCACTCACTCTGAGTGAGCTGTATTTCTATGACTGTTATACGATGGGGTGTTAGCTTCAGGTAGCGGAAAGCCTGAAGTGGTGCTGGTCTTAATGTTGGATTGTTTGTTACTTAAGGCCACACTTAGCAATATTCCAGCTATACGGTAGAGGCGTCTAGACAAGACAATCCAGTGATCAACAGCATGAGCATCGATCAATACAAAAATGGCATACGATGACATGTGGCAACCAAGTCAGTGAGCCTGGCTTCCATCCTGTTAGTCGCCTTACACCAGTCGCTAGTCTTAAATGAATGAATGAATGAATGAATGAATGAATGAATGAATGAATGAATGAATGAATGAATGAAAAGGAGGGAAGGAGATGCAGTTGTGATCTGAAAGTGTGCATGTTTTGATTTTTTCCTCGCTTTATATGAAAGTGTGTTTTACAGAACAGGGTATGGTTGTACAAAGCTATCACAGGATACTGTAGCTCCCATATATTTACATAGACTTACGATGTTGTACAATGGCACCCTGGTCCGACTTTCTGGAATGCTTTCTTGACATTGGTCTAGGCTGTCTAGGTGCGTGTCATAGCTGATTATCACGTGCAAGAGTGAGTGAATTTGGTTTACGCCATTTTTAGCAATATTCCCGCAATAGCACAGCAGACACCAGAAATCACACACTGTGTATAAGTGGGAATCAAACACAAGCCATCCCCATGAAAGGGGGAAACTTTAATAATAATAATAATAATTAATTTGTATAGAGCCTATTTTCCAACTTTGAGCTGCTCAATGGTGCTGAACAGGGTAGATAATTTACATATCATATGCTTGATTAAACAGGAAAGTTTTTAGACAGTTCTGGAAGGATTTGTGAGAGCTTGCTGTTTTGAGTTCAAATGGTAGATTGTTCCACAAGGTAGGGGCAACTTTGGAGAAGGCACGATCAGCAAGTTTAGTGGATGTCGAGGTAACCGAGAGATTGTACATATTCTGAGATCGGAGATATCGTCCTGGTGTATACATCTGGATCAGGTCCTTTAGGTAGAGAGGGGAGGAACACTTTGACCACTAAACTATCCCACCATCCCATCAAGTTCAAGACACGAAAGACAAAGCTGCAGTTGAAATAAATCCAGCTGGGAACTGTTGACAAGCTCTCAGCTGAACACCCCTTTAATTACAACTAGTGAGTGACTTTAGTTTTACACCACTAGCCATATTCCAGCAAAATCACAGCGGGGATACCAGAAATGGGCTTCACACATTGTATCCATGAGGGGAATTGAACCTGGGTCTTCAGCATGGCGAGGGAAAGCTTTAACCACTAGGCTACCCCACCGCCCCTAAATTTAACTAGGCTACAGAGGTGCATCTTCAATAGTTTGGTACAAAATGATCTTGTTTCCAGAATGTTATGGTGTGTGTTATTGATAAATAGTCACTAGATGGCTCTGCATTATTAATCTCATTTCACACCCTGATACTGTCCACATTAATAACAGATATAATCCTAGCCATGAAAACTGAGAAAATACCGCATTAATCATACATGTGCACATTAAATGACAACAAGACAGCTCAATCAACTAGGAAGTATCTACAAAGTTTCCCCCTTGTGCTTGAAGTGAGGAAATGTCCAAGTTAAAAGGAATAACTGCTACTGAGGAAAACACTGTAACAGCTTCAGGCCCTAATAAAGAGAAAATAGAATCGCTTACATTACCATTAAATCCTCAGGGGTTTGTCGAAACAGGATATGAGATTTCAAAAAAAAAAAAAAAAAATCTTCTTCTGTATAATTTACTGAAGATAGTGACGTCTGAAGGCAATTTAATGTTATTTTTACACTGGAAATAAAAAATTAACTCCCACAATGTGGCAGAGTGTGTGAGCTGTGTAATTTGTTAAATCATCCGTTAAACCACCATAGTGATGAGTAGAGACTACGACCAAATCCCATTGACAAACATCAGTCATGTATTGTTTTCCAGCCAGACTCACATACATCAACACCTTGGGCCCAATATTCAAACCATTGTCTTAAAAAGGAATAAACAAATAAGCAGAAAAAACTACCCACGAAGATCTGGGTTAGAATTGGTCTTCAGCAAACCATGCTTGTTGTGGGAAGGCACTAACTGGTTTAGGTGCTCAGGCTCGCTGACTTGGTTAACACATATCATCACCAAATTCATCTAATCACCTCCAAACCTCACCCCAGATCCATCCAATCACCTCCACACCTGACCCCAGATCCATCCAATCACCTCCAAACCTCACCCCAGATCCATCCAATCGCCTCCAAACCTAACCCCAGACCCATCCAATCACCTCCACACCTGACCCCAGATCCATCCAATCACCTCCACACCTGACCCTAGATCCATCCAATCACCTCCAAACCTGACCCTAGATCAATCCAATCAACTCCAAACCTGACCCTAGATCCATCCAATCAACTCCAAACCTGACCCTAGATCCATCCAATCACATCCAAACCTGACCCCAGATCCATCCAATCACCTCCACACCTGACCCCAGATCCATCCAATCGCCTCCAAACCTAACCCCAGACCCATCCAATCACCTCCACACCTGACCCTATATCCATCCAATCACCTCCAAACCTGACCCCAGATCCATCCAATCACCTCCACACCTGACCCCAGATCCATCCAATCACCTCCAATCCTGACCACTAGATCCATCCAATCGCCTCCAAACCTAACCCAAGACCCATCCAATCCCTCCAAACCTGACCCTATATCCATCCAATCACATCCAAACCTTACCCCAGATCCATCTAATCACCTCCAAACCATACCCCAGACCCATCCAATCACCTCCAAACCTGACCCAAGATCCATCCAATCAACTCCACACCTGACCACAAAATGATCAGAGCACGTGGCAAGAACACAGTACTGGTTTCCAGTGGTAGGTCAAAATTTGACCTAGATGTGTGAAGACCATTTTTAAAATGTGACATGCCTAAACATTTGCAAATTTAAAACAACAAAGCCATAGATATAACGGTCCTGACTGCAAGCCCAAACAGATTCCATTGGGCATAAAAGGGAAAAGTCATTATACTAATATGAACAAAAAGCTGAAAATCAGACACCAGGCATTCCTGAAAAGGGTGAGCATGCCCTGCCTCTCTGTTACTAGCTTTACACCACACATTAGCATCTCCCATGATGAGTTATTGGATTTGGGAGTGCTGCAGAGCATCTAATGCCTGGAAGTTTCATTTAGGACAGAAGGCTTTGAATATCAAAATGTCAGGGTAATAAAAAATCAACACCACCAAAAAATCTTTTAAACATAATGCTTATATTACATTGTAAGAGACAAAAGTTATCCGTTATTTTGCTTAGCAATCTCTCTCTTTCTCCTGTCCTAAAATCTCACAGTTTAGAGACAGACATATTGTCACTCTTGAATGTGATTGCATAATGAAAATATGGATGACATGTATCCATGACAACTCTAACCAATTTTCTAGCCGAATGTGGAAATCCCATCAGGATCAAATTCTTTCTGACACATTTTGACCAAACAGGTATCAGTGTCACAAATCTGAGTCATATTTTTTTCGAATCCGGGACCGAGAAAAAACTCGAATATCAAATGTGAAATGAATAAATAATACGAGGATCAAATCCCATTTAACACTGGTTTCAAACAATCAGATAGCAGAATACACCAATTCCCTTTACAATGGATGGTAATTATGACCAGGAATATTCGCAGTGGTCCTCAGTTCCTCGGAGCCTGACCATCATCTAGATTACATAGACATGGGACTACAAGGGCACTTTTCGGGGGCTCTAACAGGTGGCCATAAAATGGCTAATGGCATTACAAGCCAAGCGACTGAAGTATTCAATCAATGTACAGTATCAATATCAGCAGAACAGTCATATCTGAAGTGGGATTAATTCCACCTCCGATGGTAATCAATGTTCCCATGTCACAAGGCAGAATGCTTTGGTAACTGATAATTGCAGTGGGAGTGGGTTGATTTGGGAAAGGGGTGACCTATAATCCTTCATGAAAGGGGTGACCTGTATTTAGATCAAGCAGAAAAAGAGAGTGAGGGAAATGAAGGTGTTACTGGTCTTTATGTCAGGGAATCTCTAAGTGAACTCTCAGTGTTAAAGTCTTAAATGGCAATGGTCATTTCTTCTCCAAAGTATGCTGATCTTGATGAACAAGAATTCAGTTGGGGGAGAATTAAGCAGCAAACCCCAAAGAGAGTGAGTTGGGTTTGATGCGTGTTTCCACAGAATGTTTGTCATACGTCATCTAGGAGATTGTGTCAGCCTAATTTTGGACGAAACCTCTAAGGATCTGCAGGATCCCTATTAACTTATTCTTGTCTGAAGAAGCTTCTCAAGAGTGAGTATGCATGGTTTTATGCTACTTTTAGTAATATTCCAGCAATATCACAGCGGGGGACACCAGAAATGAGCTTCAGACATTGTACCCATGAGGGGAATCGAACCCAGGTCTTCGGTGTGTCAAGCGAATGGGGAGTGGTAACCTTTGAACACCGTGGAAAGTAAGTAAACGATATGCTCGGTAACTATACTACTATTTAAACACTGTGGAAAGACAAGTAAAAGATATACTAGGTACCTGTTCTACCCTTCAAACACTGTGGAAAGACAAGTAAAAGATATACTAGGTACCTGTTCTACCCTTCAAACACTGTGGAAAGACAAGTAAAAGATATACTAGGTACCTGTACTATGCTGTCAAACACTGTGGAAAGACAAGTAAAAGATATACTAGGTACCTGTTCCACCCTTCAAACACCATGGAAAGACAAGTAAAAGATATACTAGGTACTCCACCATATGGAGACAAGCAGAGGCAAACTAAGGACTACTTCTAGCCTGGAATTCCAACATTCCATGACAAATATAGTACTGGGTAAATGATTACATGAAATAACACACCTACAAGCTATGTTTAATTCTGGTAATCCACACTTTATTTGTCTCACCTGATATTGTTATTACTGATTATATCAGACAAAAGTCACTTATTTGCCAGGCTATCACTGTTTTTTCATGGATTGTCCATAACCAACCTTTCATTAATATTTGTTCCAATTATCGTCCTAAGCACAAATGTCAACAGTATATTAGATGGCAACCAGACAACAGGAGCCATCTGAAGATGAACAAAAGATAGGAACAGACTGGACAGTATTCCTCCATGTTGAATGCGTGTACTACTTGTACTACAACTGTTAGCATTAAAACATAAAGATAATTCAAATAGAGATATGATATTAAGACAAACTGTAATGCTTCTGTGCGAAAATAAGCTCAATTATCATAATTATGTTATTATGTTGGCGCCATGTCTATGATTATTTGTTGTATTCAAATCACTCAATTGTCCTGTTGATTGGTTGGTTTCTGTCTCAAACCAAGATAATACAAATAGGTTAATTGTGCCTGATTACATTCCAATTCGGGCAGTGAGGTAGCCTAGTGGTTAAAGTGTTAGCTCATCATGCTGTAGACTTGGGTTCGATTCCCCACATGGGTACAATGTGTGAAGCCCATTTCTGGTGTCCCCCGCTGTGATATTGCTGGAATATTGCTAAAAGCTGACGTAAAGCCATGCTTACTCACTTACTCTAATTCCCTTCAACATGCAGCTAATCCAACAACAGTGAGCTTGTGAGTGATATTGATTTAACGAATATTCCAGCAATATCATGGCAGGTATACAAGAAACAGCCCTCACCAGCAATGGTCCTACACATTATACCACACACAGGGAATTGAACCGAGGCCTTTCGCATGACAATGGTTGATCCACAAGGCATCCTCCACAACGGGCCCGTGAAGATCTGGGGTAGAATTGGTCTTCAGCTTGCCACAAAAGGCGACTATGCTTGTCGTCAGAGGCGACTAACG